TCTTTGAAATACTGAATACCTCTAACCACATGCCCTAGTTAGCACAGTTCCAACTTGATAGCTGAAGGGTTTTAAGACCAACAGCATCTCCTAGGGCAGACAGCAGTGTATCTATGCTTGTCTTGCTTTGATGTTTTTACAAACTAGAACATGATGTAAAGGCAGCAAAGCAGCTGTCTTTAACTCAGTGATGGGTTTTCAGTGACAGAGATGAAAAGCATAATATAAGCTCAACATATGATCTGTCCGTCAATTAAATTGAACTTATCATTTTTCAGTAAAGCTCGAAAGGATGTAACAATAGTGTTTGCATAATTTATTTCACATATATTTATGAAGCAGAAGCACTGTTCTGTTTATGCTTAAATTCAAGCATAAAAAAACAAAAGAAAATGTTTGTACTGTATGATTATCCTCTGCTCATGTTGTTCTGGGGGAGAATGAATCCCAGTAGGACTCCTACCTGCTGTCCTTACCTTTTTTGTGTTTTCATGTCCTGTCCTGCCATGTTCGTCTTACCCTTGGCTGCCCAGGCCCATCTACAACAGTCACACAGAGACCTGTCAACCAGATATCCTGAACTACAGAGGGCGCTGTCTGCCTGCCCTGTCAGTCTCTGTGTGCCTCTGTCCCCTCCTCAGCCCAGCTTTTGGCTATGTTAAACCTCTTCTCTTCTTCCTTCCTTTTTCTCTCGCGGCACCAGGCGCGGCTTCCCTCCTGTTCATCCACCCTAAGCATTGCTGAGGTACTCCTGCATGCGTTTGGATGCAGCGTAACCGTGGCATCAGTCATTGCGCCTCCATTTTTCTACAGCATCCTTGAATTCCTGCTTTGCATGCCTGCCCTCTGTTCTCCTGTCATCTTTTGGTGTGTGTTTGTTTGGTCCTGCCTGCTGTTTCCAAGTGTTTTATTTTCTTTTCAGCTATCCCTGTGTTTGTGTGCATTTTTTGTTGTCACCTTGTCGTTGCCTTCTAAGTTTTGATTTTGTCTTGGAACAAACTGTCTGTCTTCTAGTGAAAATTCTGTCTCTAACTGATGCCTTGTCTCCATTCTCTCCAAACCAACCAAATGACTCCTCTTTTAGATCATCACGTTTGCTTTAACTGGTCTTTCAATCTCTGAATGGAAGTTGAAAGATGCTTGCCTTGTGTTTTTGAATGAAAGTTATATTGCTCGCACAGTGTGCATTTCTCTTTCTCTGTTCCACATACAGTACTTTACACACACTACAGCTGCTGGTTACTTTGGTTATAGTGCAATAGGTCTAAACTGATGCTGTTTATAATAAAGTCCTTAGCTCAGTTTAAAGTATTAGAATAGGAAGGGCATGTTTTTAATCTAAATCTCTAGTTCATTAAATGAATGTCAATGAGAAATTAGCAATTTAATCCTGTATAAAGATAAATTTGATATTCTTTTTCCACCACATGTGTATTCATCTATCTTCTTTACATGCATTCCATTAAGAGTTTTGGTTGAAAGATTTCATGTAAATTAGATGTAAAACATTTAGGTCATTAGGTTATTTGGGTATTTAGTGTTTTTATTCTAAGAAATTTAAGCTTCTTGGATCATTCTGGATATTTAACCAATCTATCCATCAGGGCAATTTTAAAAGCTTAATGTTGGCCTGCTTTATTATCGATGATGGCTGCTAAAAGCATGAGATTTATCTGCAACTTGCTAAGATATAATTTAGAGATCATGGGATATTTTAGATCTTCTAAGTGCAATTTTAAGTCAATATGGGTATGGAAATTATACTCTAAAATAAGACCTGTGTACCTATTCCTTGCTTTTAGATATAGCTGAAGTTGTATGTTTTACCCGAAATCCACCCTGAATAGGGTGAACCTCAGAATTGTGACCAAAGCAATATTTTTTACAAATTACACAGCCACCTAATGTGCACCGTAATGTTCATTCAAGCACCAACCAAAAAATCTGACTTAGGAGGCCTTGAAAATGGAATATCATGCATTTTTAACAAATCTCAATAAATTGTTCCTCACAATTTAGTTATGTACTCTCCTCTGTAAATTCTAAGCTGTGGAAAAGAAACAAAACATAATACCTTTCAAACAGGAACACAACAGAATCCCGTAGACATGCATAAATAATATATATTCTTGCTTGCCTCTGGTGTGGTTACCCTGATATACATGTATTAACATCAAAAACATATTTTTAAAAATAAATGTATTAATTCAGGTTATTTTAAGCTGTTCATTTTAATGGAGTTTACAAGAGAAAGAAGTTCAACTGACACCCAGTTAGATAAAATCTAGTTCTGTAAAACCTTTTATTCAACTGAATCCAAGAAACTTACAACATAGACCAGTCATACAGTCAGTATATAATATAAATATAGATTAAAAAAGGATTGATTTCAGCTAGGTAGATTGGACAGAACTAAGCAAGACTAGAACTTAATAGTATATTGTAGTGTAATGTAGGACAGAAAAATTCTTTAGTGTCCCTCTTTGGGAAATGTCGTATAGAAATTTTTATAGACATTGTATGTAGACAGGCCATTAAAAGAAGGTGCATTTATACAAAGGCAAAAATATGAAAAAAGAAAACTAAAGTATGGGAAAATTTACATCATTACAAAAAAGTGCTTTATTACCTAAATAAAAGGAACTGTGCTGCTAAATGGGATATTTTAAATAAGTATACAACATGTATTTATGGTTGGCAAAATAACCAAGAATTGTCATGTTAATTTATTCTATGTAACATATTCCAACTCCCAAGCCTTACAAAACCAGGGCAACCATGATGTTTCCTGTCTGCTATGGTTAACCTAAGGCATCAGGGAAGCTAGTATATCTTAAAGACTGTATTTCTGCAAAAAAGAGGTCTTTGGTAGGATTATTTTGATGACTGCTGCCTATTTTATCCCACACTCTTTAAGACATGTGATCATACTTGCAGATCTTTGCTAGAGCTGCTTTAAAATCCAATGAATTGCTGCAGGTCTACATTAATCTTTGAGTCCGATTGGTTTTTTGGTGGTTACTGTGAGATGTATGAGAGTTTATTTTGCTTTGACTTTTCTTCGGTCTGGCTGAAGAATTTATGTGGTGGCTATTCTGTCTGTTTTAGTCTATAAGCAAAATGTCCAGACTGTGGGTGGAAATGTTTGGATTTCTTTAAATGCATCATTGACTTGTATCTTCTGTCCGAGTGGGTATGCATGCCTTTTCTAGTATGGCGGTGTGTGTGTGGTATGAAGATGAGTGACTATCCTGTGGCTTCCCCCAGGCCTCACGGAGAGAATTCAGGGCTCACCTGGATGAGGTCATCACGCTCAAGTCAAGGTACTCTACCTTGGACCAGGTAAACCCGCTAACCTTCTAGCAACGTGGTTTTTACTGGCATGCAGACCATTGGCTTCTCACAGAGAACCTACCACCTAACACAAGTAACATGCATTGCCAATCACACAGGCAGAGAGGCAGTAGCTAATGGAAAATCGCTTTTTAATCCCATTGGCCTGCAGTTCAGTTTGGCATGTTTCAGTCGTTTTCTATTCGCATGCAAAGAAAATCCCCAAATATCTGTAAAATAAGTCTATGGTGACTTGCAAAAGTATACATACCCCAATCATTTTGGTATGTTGCAACCACAAATGTTAGTATTTTTAATGGGATTTTTATGTGTTGGATCTAAACACTAAACAGCATTTTTTAAGTCTTGCCAAAGATTCTTAATTGGATTTAGAAGGAGGCTTTGAATAAGGCCATTCTAATGCGTGTAGATTTACCTTAACAATTCCTTTGTAGCTCTGCTTGTATGTTTAGCATCAGCACTGTAATGGAAAATGGATCTACACCAAGTCTTTTATAATTCTTGAACTAGTTTTCCAGTTGTTTCTTGAAAGATCATCTGTATCTTTAATATAATAACCTTAACAGGGATGGTTTCTATTTCCTAATTAGGTGAAAATTAAGTGTCACTGAATTTTATTTAGGACTAACAAAGGGTGCTAAATACAAATGTACTCCACATTTTTCAGATTTAAAAATGAAAAACAATTAAAACTACAGGTCAGTTTGCTTACGCTTCACAATTATGCATTTTGTGATGATTGATTATAAATGTAATAAATATTTGATGTAATCATATATAATCTAAATTCAATCCTTTTTAAATTGTGGTTGTAACAAGGCAAAATGTGCACAGACGATATAATTAGCAAATATTTGTATATATGTATAAGTGTACTTATTGCAACTCATGTGAAATTAAATTTGATCATATTTGGATCACTGGATTGTTTTATAATGTAATTGTTTGGCACGTTTTCAATCATTGTCAGGTTCAAATACCAAGATTGGTTATAAAAATTTAGACATCCGAAACTTGCTCTCATATTAACTCAATTGAGAAGACTAGCAATTCAATAAGAAATGACTAGATAGTGTGGTCATACACATGGCAACATCTAAGTTGGATATTACTTAATTGCAAAGTTGACATGTGTGCCACCACCTTTTAAGGATAAAAACCTTCCTATGAATCATTGCCTCTTTCTGCAGATCTGCATCAGCATTCATTCTTTTTGATCCATCTTCCGTCTTGTTAGGTGTAAATATTGCTTGATGCTGTTTTTTTTTTTTCTCAGCTGGGAGTACGTTTGTGTTTAATATACAAGATATTCATTGCTTTAGAAACAATAATTCACCATAAGATTTTTTAGTTTTCACTTTATTGTCACACTTAAATATTTGTTTCCTTAAACTTATTTAGTTATTATTTAAATGGAACCAAATGGAACCTCTTACAGTACAACCACATGATTTATGTATCACTTATATAAAAACTATTTGAGAAAATAAAGTAGCCAATAGAGGTTCTAAAACACCACAACCCTACTTTGAGAAATATCAAGATCATTTAAGCAACAAAGTCTTCAACATCAATCGAAAGGTATCATCAAAATAGTCACAAAGCCATTTCTAAAACTTTAGGAACAGCACTACTGAAATTAATAATTCACATATGGGGAACATGTAAGGCAGCAATAACTTTTCCCAGGAGTAGCTGATCTACCAGAATTACTCCAAAGGTGTATTGACAGCTCATCCATAAAATTTTAAGCACTATTTACAGACTGAGAAGTGAAATATTTTTTAAAGTGTGGATCTTGTTACATCTAACATATCTAACACAGATTTTTTTTAAACACATCATCCATGCATTCAAATAAAAGAGCTTTACTGTTCTCCATTTTGTTTGCGACATATAGGTTTTGTAATAAAACAAATGATTAATAGAGTTGAAAATATTTGGTGACAAAACAGATCATGAAGTGTTATGCAGGAGCCACAGAGGAGACCTCTGTCTGCGATGTGGACACTTCAGAATCATCCTCTACTACTCTGCCAAACAGCTTCATGATGCATCTGCGAAACTGTCGGTTCATGAAGACATAGATAATTGGGTTGTAGATGGTGGCACTCTTTGCAAAGTATGAAGGCAAGGCAGCAAGCAAAGGATGAAAGGCATATCCGGGGTTGGCTGCAGCAAAGCAGGCAAAAAAGGCGTAAGGTCCCCAGCAGATACAAAAAGCCAAGATCATGACAACAACCATCCTGGAGACTTCCTTCTGAGCATTCTGGGTTGACTCGCATTCCTTCTGCTGCCTAGCAATATCACGGATGGTCAACCACACAGCAAGGTAGCATAAGACTATGACAGCCAGAGGAATGATGCAGCAGGTAATCATCAGGACAATCATGTAGGACTTGATTCCAGGGTCTTTACTACCGCTGAAAACATCAGGTCCACAGGAGGTTTTCAGTCCATAAGGCCAAAACCTGCTCCATCCAAAGAGGGGAGGGGCACACCACACCACGGACCAGACCCAGGAGAATACAATTCCGGCTGCGGCCCAGTTGGCATCAAACTTGACATTTCCAAAAGGTTTGCATACAACAACCCATCGCTCCCAAGAGATGATAGTCAGGGACCAAAGTGCAGTAATACCACAAACTGAGACAACGTAACCTTCAAAGACACACATTGGATGTCCCAAAATGAAATAGCCAAAAAACTGGTTGCACACACTGACGGTACTGGCAAAAACCGCCTCACCAAGATCAGCAACGGCAAGGTTGACTAAGATCCAGTTGAGAGGATGACGGAGTTTCTTGAACTTTGCTGTAGCTACTAAAACCAGGCCATTGGTAAAGACAGATGAAACAACCACAAACAACATCCAGACTGTTGAGACATTGTAAACCCATCGAGGAGCGACATGGTAGTTTGGTCCCTCAAAAGGATCTGAAAGCATAGGTTAATGTGTTAGTTTCATCAACTGTAATGATACTTCCTTATTCAGAAATATGACTTAAAATACATACCTTTGGTATGATTACTGTTTGTGTATGTGAAAGCGGAGTCCCTTGTAGTATCTTCATTGTGTCTTTTGGCAGCAAACACCTGTTTTCTCCATCCTTCTCCCATCTTGATCTTAGAAAGAGATTCTCAGCTCTCGGACTTTCCTCTCACATGTAACTCTATGGGTTTGCTGAGCGCTTAACCTTTACTTCTGTTTATATAGCCACGCTTCACTGAAGTCTGATGGGATTACTTTAAAACCAACTAAAGGAGATCGTCTCCCTATCCGGAGCCGAACCCTGGCAGATGACCATAACGGCTTTTCCTGCAGATTTTGAAAGCAGCCATACACACTCTTTCCAACTCTTCCACCTCTCACTCCAACACAAAAGCTCTTCCTGCACCAGCAACCCTACTCTTCTCAGAAACCCTTCCTGGAGTAACCAGAAAATCAGGAAAGCTCAATGATTTCTTTAAAAGGACATTCATACTTGTTGTGCTGAAATCTGGTCTTTAAATCTTTTGTTCAACTCATTTAATAGAACAGAATCAATTTTCTTTTTTTTTATCCCTTAGGAAAAGAGAACACAACAGATCTGCCATGGATCTCACATAGACCTGTTGACAGAAACATGTGCTACATTATGGTGATTTACATGGAAACACTTGAAAGATACTCATTATAAATGAGTTATTTAAACCCCTTAGAGTTCAATATGCAAATAGCATTGGGGAAAAATTTAGCTTTTCCCTCTCTAGGTCTTGCAATCTAGGAAATGGAGCTTGTGGCCAGATGGTGAGTTCTGAAAAGCTGGAAACAAAGGATGAGTAGGATCATTTCAAAATTGCCATCCAGTGGAGCCAGATTGCTGGCGAGCATGAAGATCAGTAATCTTGGAAAATAGGTTTACAGTATGATGAAGGCAGTTCCTATTCTGTAGATGACACAGTGGCATCAACAGCATATGGAGAACGAGAAAACCAACTCAAAATAGTATGTAATATTCTGAACAATCTCCACTGGAGAATTCCATTGTTTACAGCAACAAGATGCCTTCTACTGCTGGAAAATGAGATCACCATCTCCTTGGTTTTGCTGACGTCCAACTCTAAGCTGCCCGATGGACCCCTGCAGTTGGCCAAATGAATGAACACGATGGACATTGGCATAGTCAACTGAGAATACACTTCACCCTACATGATCCTGAATATGTAGGGGCGTAGGCTAAATAGCTTCAGCTCATCCCTCAACACCATCGGCTCAGACATTCTCATCAGAAGCTTTCACCACTTCCTAACTGCTTATGGGGTTAAGACGCGGTGAATTTTGGCACCCTTACTTCATTGGAAGATTAGCTCCAAGACCTTTAACTGACATATTCAAATCTATTACAAGTCCTCATGTGTTGTTATGGCTGTTAGAATATTGTGGTCAAAAAGTATAGCTCCACAATTGGGGTATTTTATCTTCCCGACACTTGTTTGTTATGGTCCAATCAAAGTCTGTGCCTAAATCTGGTTGGGAGACAACCTTAAAGTGACAAGTAGGTTTAGAGGGTATTTACTTTCAACATAGGGCCCAATTGGATGGGATAGATTTGGTTCCCCTTCCTAGCTTAGATCAAAAATATTTTTTCTTTGATGGATGTTGACATTACTTAAATTATCTGAAGGTTTAAGTGTGACAGATAAAGTGCAAAGATAAGAAATCTGTGTTTGGGCAACAGCTTATTAAGTGCATTGTAAGATCTGGTAAATTAACAGAGAAGTGATGTGGAAGGTAAGAAGTATTACTTCTACATGTATTCTCATTTCTCCTTTCTCGTACGCAAGAGCCTTTTTGCAGTGACATTGCGTCATTTTGCCCCTCTCTATCCTTATCTAATTCAATGGCCCTATTTTGTAATTTGCCCTCACATTGATACTAAGGGGCAGAGGCAACTAAAGCCAACTAAAACAATCATTCCTCTTTGTCTTCACAGTGAATATAAAAACAGGATATGCATAGTTTCTCTCACAGCTTCTCTGTTTTGTGCTGATCTCAGCACCACTGCAGTTGCATCCCATCATTTCACTAAGAGCCTCCATCGCCAGCTGATTATTGAGCATATTGACACCCCCACCCCTTGCTGTAGCTCACTAGCACCTGGGCTTTGTGTCTTGTGAGCATGGCTGCGCCCGCTGCTCTGTGTTTGTGATTATTGTCGCCGAGTTCTCCCTGTCACATGGATCTTCCTGACACATCTCTATTTTTAGCGCATTGCCCTGAGTTATTTCAGTTCAATTCAAAAATAACAGCATAAGAATATATGAAAGGTCAGGAATGAGGGTCAAGGATTAGCATATAAAGGGTTGAGTTTGTGTGACTCTGTTCTTCAGGTGCACAAACAAACAAATACATGTGGAGAACTTTTTTTTTTAGCCTCCTAAAAAATATCTTGCTGATATGAATTTGAGTATTTTCCATCATTTTCCAGCATCCTTCATACTCATACTTCAACATCCTCATATGGTGGTCTCTCAATAACAAAGGGGGAATTTCAGCTATAAATAGATTAGACATAATTATAAAAATGTTTGACAGGCCTTCAACTATCAAAATATTCTGCATTCCTCGTATTTGAGTTTGTCCTGTGTTGTGGTGATAATTGTGTTTTATAATCTGCTCAAATGACCTGTACAGCGCTTTGATTTTAGCTTTGGCTGACTGAAAGCGCTTTATAAATAAAGTTGAGTTGAGTTGAGTATTCTCCTCACTTCCCCACACATCTATTCGTATCTCTCACATGCACTCATTTCCATTTTCAAACTGTCTCTGTCCATGGCTCACTGATGCTACTTTTTCCATTGAAATGGTTTTGTTCATTTGCTGTTGTTTTTTTCCCCATACTAAGCTCGTAATTTTGAAGTTTGCTATGAAGATTATAGTTATATTCTGCAAGACACATGAATGTCCATTAGTTTATGGTTTATGTGATCCTGGATCGGAAATTGTCCAAAATTGTTCTGATGTGTTCGAAGAGACAGGGTAGGGAGATTCTTATGCGATTGATAATTTTAATCAGTATTTTCATCAGTATTTTTGTAAGACTCTCTGTGTTCACTGCTTTTAGATTGTTGTATTCTGTTTGTAGATGGAAATGTCTGCAAGTGAAATTTGTGTCTAGCTGTAGTTGTTTTTAGCAGCCTTAACTCTTAATTCTTGATTTCAATGGGGGGGGGTCTGTTGTCTTTCTATTATTTCATTTAATTACAACTAGGCAGTTGTGGCTAAAATCTAACTGCCCAAAACAATGTTACTTTGATTAAAAAAGTTGCTTTAAACAAAGAAAATCACTTTTATCAAAGAAAACATTTTCAATCAAAGAAAAGCAGTGTTCAAATGTATTTTTTTTTTGTCTCAACTATATTTTTGCATTCAAATACTTTTTTTCTTTAATGTAAACGTTTTCTTTTTCATTAAAGTGAAGGTGTTTTTAATAAAAAAAATATATTTTTTTGATTGAAGCAACCTTTTTTTATTTGAATTATAATGACAAAAAAATCTACCTTCATAGAAATATCCAAAGGGTTTTAAGCCTAAAAAGAACTTAAAATGTAATCATCAAACTCTTTTTGAATAATAAAAAAAGAGACAATTTATAGTAATCTTAAATTAGTGTAATAAAATTTTACTAAAGGATAATGTTTTTCATTCAGTTGTGTTATCTCACAGTATTTTTAGTTTCCATGAAAAAAGAAGAATTTTCTATGGGCACCTTGCACAAAAAAGAAAGGCTAGCTGTTAGTTGGCACTTAAATACAGGTGCTGGTCATAAAATTAGAATATCATGAAAAAGTAGATTGATTTCAGTAATTCCATTTAAAAAGTGAAACTTGTATATTATATTCATACATTACATACAAACTCATATATTTCAGATGTTTATTTTGTTTAATTTTGATGATTACAAATGACAACAAATGAAAATCTCAAATTCATCATATCAGAAAATTAGAATATTACTGAAGACCAATAAAAACAAAGGATTTATAGAAATGTTGGCCAACTGAAAAGTATGAACATGAAAAGTATGAGCATGTACAGCACTCAGTATTTAGTTGGGCCTCCTTTGGCCTGTATTACTGCAGCAATGCGGCGTGGCATGGAGTCGATCAGTCTGTGGCACTGCTCAGGTGTTATGATAGCCCAGGTTGCTCTAATAGTGGCTTTTAGCTCTTCTGAATTTTTGGGTCTGGTGTATTGCATCTTCTTCTTCACAATACCCCATAGATTTTCTATGGGGTTAAGGTCAGGAGAGTTTGCTGGCCAATTAAGAACAGGGATACCATGGTCCTTCAACCAGGTACTGATAGCTTTGGCACTGTGTGCAGGTGCCAAGTCCTGTTGGAAAATGAAATCTGCATCTCCAAAAAGTTGGTCAGCTGCAGGAAGCATGAAGTGCTCTAAAACTTCCTGGTATGTGGCTGCGTTGACCCTGGACCTCAGAAAACACAATGGACCAACACCAGCAGATGACATGGCACCCCAAACCATCACTGACTGTGGAAACTTTACACTGGACTTCAAGCAACGTGGATGAAGTGCCTCTCTTCTTTTCCTCCAGACTCTGGGACCTTGATTTCCAAAGGAAATGCAAAATTTACTTTCATCAGAGAACATGACTTTGGTCCTGTTTCTCTTTAGCCCAGGCAAGACGCTTCTGACGCTGTCTGTGGTTCAAGAGTGGCTTGACACAAGGAATGCGACAGCAGAAACCCATGTCTTTCATACGTCTGTGTGTGGTGGTTCTTGAAGCACTCACTCCAGCTGCAGTCCACTCTTTGTGAATCTCCCCCACATTTTTGAATAGGTTTTGTTTCACAATCCTCTCCAGGGTGCGGTTATCTCTCTTGCTTGTACACTTTTTTCGACCACATCTTTTCCTTCCCTTTGCCTCTCTATTAATGTGCTTGGACACTGAGCTCTGTGAACAGCCAGCCTCTTTAGCGATGACCTTTTGTGTCTTGCCCTCCTTGTGCAAGGTGTCGATGGTCGTCTTTTGGACAACTGTCAAGTCAGCAGTCTTCCCCATGATTGTGTAGCCTATAGAACTAGACTGAAAGACCATTTAAAGGCTTTTGCAGGTGGTTTGAGTTAATTAGCTGATTAGAGTGTGGCACCAGGGGCCATCAATTTTGAACCTTTTCACAATATTCTAATTTTCTGATATGATGAATTTGAGATTTTCATTTGTTGTCATTTGTAATCATCAAAATTAAACAAAATAAACATCTGAAATATATGAGTTTGTATGT